GACCCGTATTTTTTTATCGGCAATGGCAGGTTTAAAGGGTGAAACTATCTCTCAAAGTTTCATCCTCTTTATGCTATCTCGATAACAATTGTAGATAGAAAAAAACTTTTTAAACAAAAATTGTACGGTTTTTTATGAAAAATACGAGACCTGGTTAAAATAAAAAAAATGTTTTTAATAATTGACAAAATGACCATACCAGGCTTAATTAATTAATTTATAAAATTCATTATATCGAAGAAAAAGTTAACATTTTTCATTCTGAATTCATCCATATATAATATTTTATATTTAACTTATACGGGCGTTGCAATTTTATAAGTGAAAGTTATATCATAAGCAAGGTGCTCGATAACGAGCGTAAGCTATATCGCCACGCAAATGACGACTATCTATTTACATCTTTTGAACGCATTATAATTAATACAATAATATAAAATAATATAAAATAATTCAGAAAACACATCAACGCGGGACACTGAACATTTTTTCATTTGTAACATATATTCCACATCACATTATTTTTAAATATATTTAATATAACAGACGAAAAAGATATGCATATGAGTTTACCTGTATATTGATATATACAGGTAAACTTTTTCTTTATAGCTTTTTCCTTATAGCTCGCTCGCTCTTCGTAGTTCGCGCTCGCTCGCTCTTCGTCGCGCTCGCTCGCCTCTTGTCGCTTGCGCTCGCTCGCTCCTCGTCATGCTCGCTCGCCTCTTGTCGTTTACGTTGCCCCTTGCCGCGCGCGCTCGCCTACCGCCACTCGCTGACTCCGCCTGTATCAAATGTCTATGTGCTTACTGCGGCCGCTCTACGCGCTCGTTGGCTCACAGGTTTTAACCACTTGCGCTGGCAAAAAATTCACTGACGCGTGTACCAGAACGGTCTAGTGTAACTCGCTGAGAGGCGTCACACAATGTTCGATGCCTTACAGAAATCGGAAAAAGATTTATATTTTCTAAACTAATTTATTTTCGACCTAGGACTTTTAATAGCTTTTTGAAGGGAATATAGAGCGTCGATTGATTATAAAATTATACAAATATAAATATTTAATTTATTTATTAATAATCATGCAAAGTGTGGTATCTCTCGAAACAGTCTGGAACATGTAATGGTACAAGGCATATCTTACATTCCCATATAGTTTCACTTCGTTTTTTGTGTTTGGTACACACTCTACACCTTCGCTGTAGATTCTTTTTGACATTTGTGTCTGGCAAACAATCCCATCCGACGTGCCACGCACGTCGTTTTTGTTTCTGTGACAATCGCATGACGACGTACATACCACGTCGTTGGCGATTCTGTGACAAAAGCATTACGACGTGCGTGGCACGTCTTTCCAGCGCAAGTGGTTAATTAATAACTCGGTAACTATTGCCAATTTGACATTATGGTGCATGACTTTTCTTCTCGGCTACACCCAATCTATCTCCAACTTTCGTCTGCATGATAAGCTTCCAAACACCCTGTATACAGGGTGGTTGATTATAAGTTGCCAACCCGAAATGTGAAGGTAGATTGGGTTAAGATAAACATAAAAGTCCCATACCGTTTTGCGAGATTCGCAGTAATTATCGAGTTATTAATGACAGAAATCTGAGGAATGGGAACGCGCCGGCATAGATGATTGGAGAAGTGTTATAGCTGCTTAGGCCGCAGCGCGGCCCAGTTGACCCAGAAACTGTTGCCGGTGCGCGGCGAGGGGAAAGACAATGCGCTGCTATTCGTTGTTTTAACTCGCCGGATCTACGTCTCGCCGCACGCCGCCAACAGTTGCTATGTCGAGTGGGCCGCGCTGTGGCCTGAGTAGCTGCAACGCTTCTCCAATCATTTATGTCGGCGCGCTCCCATTCCTCAGATTTCTGTCACTAATAACTCGATAATTATTGCGAATCTCGCAAAACGGTATGGGACTTTTATGTTTACCTTAACTCAATCTACCTTCACATTTCGGGTTGGCAACTTATAATCAATCACCCTGTATACAGGGTGTCCGGAATGTGATCATCAATATTTTGTGTACTGGTAGAACTCGTTAAAACAATTAGAAAGTCCTGTGCCGTTTTACAATTTTTTCAATATTTATTCCGTAATTAATTAAAATGTGTGAACGAATGAGCGCACGAGAAAGCGACAGGACAGGCTCTGTGAATAAGAAAATGGCTTACCTCGCGCGGCGAGAGGCAACCGTAAGCGACAAGAGACGTGCGCACGCGACGAAGAGCGAGCGAGCGCGAACGACGAGCGAGCGAGCGCAAGCGACAAGAGGCGGCCGCCCAGCGCTCTCTACACGCTCATTGGCTCACATGTTTCAATTAATAATTCGATAACTATTGCCAAGTTGACATTATGGTACATGACTTTTCTTCTCGGCTACACCCAATCTACTAGTACACAAAATATTAATGATCACATTCCGGACACCCTATATATTTTATTATACATATTATATTATAGTATATAGAGACACTGCAATTTTAAATATTTATCCAATAAATATCCAAGTATGTCTCTTGCTCTGCAATAAATGTGATGTCTTCCATACATTGATGTATAATATTCAATAAATTATTCTTTAATTCCTTTTCATAAATATTCACCGGTATATCTTGCCGTAAAATACTAATGTTTGACAAAAACCGTTTTATTTCAGAGTATTTATAACGTTACGTATGTACAGTGTTATCGCATAGTTGTTTTAAAACAAATCTTAATAAAAAAATAATATTATGTAATTAAACTAAAGGGTCAAAAATATTAAACATCATTATCATAAGAAAATTGTTTTGCACAATAACTGATGTCGCTCATACCATAATTCCACAAATCAATGAGTCGAAATCGTTTTCGATTAAATCGTGCTTACAAAAGTGACTTTTCACTGCATTATATCTTCTTATTATATCTTCTTCCACTAATACCTCAGAATTTCATAGAATTATTAACAAAATGCACCCATTATGGGTGTAGATACATTCAAAAGCAAAAATTTCTCTATCATTTTACAAACAATTACGTGAAATTTTGAGGTATTAGTGAAGAAAAATAATCATATTAATGTTTGTAAAATCAGCTTTGTAAGCACGATTTAATAAAAAATGCGTTCGACTTTCTGGTTTATGAACTTATTGCCCAGTGATATCAGTCTCTTTGTATAATAAATATTTTTTATATCTTTATCACTATATTTAGTATTTCAACTTACGAATTAGATATTATTTTGTTATTAATACTGTGTTATCAATTTATTGTCTTGTGAACTTACTGCGTGAACGCAGTTAATTTTTAATAAAAATTTGTTATATCTTCATGATATTTGTGGTAAAAGATGTCACACAAATATCATGAAGATATAACAAATTTTTATTAAAAATTAACTGCGTTCACGCAGTAAGTTCACAAGACAATAAATTGATAACACAGTATTAATAACAAAAGCTTTTTAGCTTAATGAGATAATATTATTTTCTTATTGATATTATATTACAAAACATTTGTGCAATAACGCGATGTAGATATATAACGGTATAAATACTTCGCAATGAGACATTTCTTGTTATACGTTAAGGTGCTTGTAATACGTTCGTACGAAAAGAATGGTGCATATTAATCCATTTAATGTTATCGTTGTTTCTAGCCTTGTTTAATATAGAAGACAAGCAAGATATGCCGGTGAATACTTATAAATAAGAATTGAAGAATAATTTATTGAATATTATACATCAATGTATGGAAGATATTACATTTATTGTAGAGCAAAAGACATACTTGGATATTGATAAATAATTAAAATTGTAATGTCTCTATATATGTATATGTGTAATATGTCAATATAAACTCACATGCATATCTTCCTCGTCTGTTATATTAAACACACTTAAAAATAATGTGATGTGGAATATATGTTACAAATAAAGAAATGTTCGGCGGCCCGTGTTGATATGTTTTCTGAATTATTTTATATTATTGTATTAATTAAAATATGTTCAAAAGATGTAAATAGATATTCATCATTTGCGTGGCGATATAGCTTACGCACGTTACCGAGCACCTTGCTTATGGTATAACTTTCACTTATAAAATTGCAATGCCCGTATAAGTTAAATATAAAATATTATATATGGATGGATTCAGAATGAAAAATGCTAACTTTTTCTCTCATATAATGAATGTTATAAATCAATTAATTAAGCCTGATATGGTCATTTTGTTAATTATTAAAAACATTTTTTATTTTAATCAAGCCTATTTTATTTTTTATAAAAACGATACAATTTTTGTTTGAAGTTTTTTTCTATCTACAATAGTTATCGAGATAGCATAAAGAGGGGATGAAACTTTGAGGGATAGTTTCCCTCTTTAAAAACTCGCACCACTATCGACAAAAAAATATGGGTCTTTTATTTTTGGCTATTCTACAATATGCCAAATTTCATCGAAATCGGAGACACACACTTCGCAAATATTCCTTGTAAGTTAACTTAAGGCCTATTAACTTTATAACTGAAACCAAAGTTTTCAAAACCGATTTTAGAACAAGCTTTATGATTTATAACCTTTAAAGATTTTCTTATTTATACTCAAACTGGCACCCTATGATGAAAAAGCCCTAATTTGCTTTACTGATAATCAAAAAGTAAAATGTAAGCCGACCGTTGTATATCTGCTGTGAGTCAGACGCTGCCTATGCAGTTGTCATTAATTGATTCTAACTTCATCAATTCTCAAAATTCGACTTTATAACTTTAACATAATATTCTATACATTTGAAACTTCAAAATTATGCAAAAAATTATATTTCTTCACCTTATAAAATAGAATGAACCTTTAAATGATATTAATTACTCAAATCAACTCATAACGGTAATGGCGTTACAAGTAACGCAGTGCTTCTCAACTCTAATAATATACATACATTTATTGGTTGATAAAAAACATATATATAAAATAAATATTAATGTGACAATGGCGATTAGGCTACTTACAGAGTTAGGAATACCATGACTGACGATTGAAGGCATTAAATGAGTCAGCAGATGTCGATCCAGCTCCAGCTGGGCTGTGTTGTGCGTGTTTGTGACAGGTCTGGGAGGCAAAGGCGGTGGAGACAGACTTTGCATGGACAAGGATTTTCGCGACGGCAATGGAGGTGGTATATCTGTACCACTGCCGTTGTTTAGATTCGAAGGTGGATAATAGCCCGAGGAGTACGGAGTGTTTGTTACCAATGAGCAAAGCTGTAAGATACAACAAAAAGGTGCTGTTACTGAAGAGCAAAGCTGTAAGACACAACGATAGATTGCCAAAAAGTTAGCAAAAGCTTCGATAAAATCGCGATAGACTGATCGATATATCATTCATCTACTATTGATAAGAATCTTAGGTTAGATTCAGTTTGTTTAAATCTTCAATAAAATGACATAGAATATACAGGATATTTGGTAACTCATATAGCCATAGCCAAAGGAGGCATAGAATTGATTATATAAAGCAAACATAAAAATCGCATATCATTTTGCGATATTCGCAATAATTATTGAGTTATTAATTATAGAAATCTGACGAGCGAGCATGAACTGAGATGAATAATAAGAGAAGTGTTGCGGCCACTTAAGCAAGAGCGCAGCCAAGTCGATTTAGCAACTGTTGCCAGCACATGACGAGGAGGGGAAGGATAATGGCGTCGCTATTCAGCCATGTGCTGGTCGTCTTATTTTGCCATATTTCCTACGTCTTGCCGCGCGCGGGTAATAGTTGTTGAATCAACTGGGCCAGTATTGGGGGCATTTATTCCCTTCGCAACCTCCTGCGCATGCGTCAACTACGTCACAAGTTTCGATAGGCTCGTACTTATATATACAATAGGATGCTCTTGGGGCGAAATCAAACCATGTAGTAATGTAGGATTATGGCTACGTTCCAATATTCGCTACAAATATTGAAAATACATCATTTATGTCACATATACTATAGATTCTCAGTGTTGGCAATGAATATAGGAACGCAGCCTATATAGAAAAAAATGGGAAAAGATATAGTTCAGGCTCCACAAAAACCCTCAATATTGCATTTAGGCACGAGTATATTAAGCAGCTACACGCATGACGTAATTGACGTATATGCAGGAGGTCGCAGAGGGAATAAATACCCCCCACATTGAACTGGGCCATGTTGTAACCCGAGTGGCTGTAATGCTCCTCCAATTATTCATTTCGGCGCGCATTCATTCATCAGATTTCTATAATTAATAACTCGATAATAATTGCGAATATCGCAAAACGATATGAGACTTTTATGTTTGTTTTAATCAGTTCTATATTTCCATTGGTTATGAGTTACCAACTACCCTGTATAATAAACTATGTAACTCGATCATCTTGAATATTTATGTTGCATTAAAAGATGCAAATTTTTGCTTTGTTTGATCTGATAAAGCGGTTTATACATGTTGCAGAAATATAAGGAAAGATATTTTCGTAATAAATATTTTTATAGATATTTTTAAGTTATCAACATTACTCAGGTTATGTAGGTATATGTGCGTGAGTGCGTGTGAGTATGCGCGCGCACGCACGCGTGTTTGTTGTGTGTGTGTTTGTATGTGTCTAGAACATGTCATATGTAAAGTTACTATGGTAGAGTACTAACCAGGAAGTGAGAGCTTAAGTGTAAAATATATAATGTATAAACTTTTTATATATTTCTTATGATTTAATAAATACAACACTTTATGTGAATTGACAAATCCGTGGAAATCTCTTAATATTTTGGAAAATATGTATTTTTCAAAATAATGTTTCATACAACAGTTGTATGATTTTAAGCGACGTATTACACAATAATAATAGTATAATCTTGAATGGCGTTTTCGAGAACTTTCAAAAATCATGTAAAGATTAAAAATTTTTTAATTTTCAGGTAATATTTATGTGACTTTGGCAACGTTATTCAAGGTCATATTAGTTTTACGACGTAATACACACCTAAAACTTAATAACTTTTGAATGGAACATTTTTTCGAAAATGCATATTTTTCGATATATCAAGAGATTTCAGTATTTTTTGTATAAAGCCCGTATAAAGCGCTATATTTACTAAACCATAAGAAATGTATAAAAACTTTATATATATTATATATTCTACTCAAGCTTCTCTTTCACCTTCTAGTACGTTAACCTTATCTTTTGCTATTGGGTGAGTGCAAAAGTTCGTGCGGAGTTTCAATAGATGGAGTTATAAGCGTCGTAAAGTGTTGTCATTAATACTTCCATCTACATATTATATAACGTTGGAAAGGTGACGTCTTCAGCTGTTATTAAAAAAAAATCATTTGTTTTCATACAAACTGCTTCGAGAAATATCACTTTAAAAATGAGTATCGATAAGGTGCATTTACGGCATGTTATGCTTTACGAGTTTCGGAAGGAAATAAACGTTGCCGCAGCCGTAAAAAACATTCAGGATGTTTATCAGGATGAAGCACCAGCTAAACGAACTGTGGAAAAATAGTTTGCTAAATTTCGGCACGGAGAATTTAACTTGAAGACGAGCCACGCTCTGGTCGACCTTCTGACATTGATGATGATGTTTTGCGTACTTTAGTGTTCAATAATCCGCGAATTTCAACAGAAGAAGTTGCTACAGCACTAAACGTTGACCGATCAACCGCTTTTAAACCGTTTAAAAAAGATGGGATTCGATTTGAAGCTCGATATATGGGTGCCCCATTTGCTGACCGAGAAGAACAAAATCAAGCGAATTTCTGCAGCCGTTTCTTTACTCGGGCGGCTCAATAACGAGTCGTTTTTGGATCGACTAGTGACGGGCGATGAGAAATGGGTCCTCTACAACAATGTTCAGCGCAAACGGACATGGAAACAATCAGGTGAGCATGGTGACGCAATGCCAAAGGCCAGTTTGCACCCGATGAAGGTGATGCTCTCTGTTTGGTGGGATTGCAAGGGCATAATCTATTTCGAGCTTCTCCCCGCTGGCGAAACGATTGATTCGGACAAGTATTGTCGCCAATTAACCAATCTGAATCGAGAAATAAAAGAGAAACGTCCGATTTTGTCAAATCGCAAGGGAGTCGTCTTTCATCACGACAACGCCAGACCACACGTTTCGAAAAAGACGCTGCGCAAACTGAAGAGCCTGAAATGGGATGTCGTAACGCATCCATCGTATTCTCCTGATATCGCACCATCTGATTATCACTTGTTCCGGTCATTGCAAAATTATTTAAATGGAAAAAACTTTGACTCTTTGGAGGCCTTAAAAAACGGCGTCTCTTCGTTCTTCGAATCTAAACCGCGCAGTTTTTATGATCGAGGCATCCGTATGCTGCCAGAACGTTGGGAAAAGGTTATAGAAAACGATGGAGAATATATCATTGATTGAATAAAGATTTTTGTTTGCCTAATCACTGTGTGACTTTTACTCACAAACTCCGCACGAACTTTTGCACTCACCCAATACATCCTGTACATATCTTACACATAATTCTTCCTTTACTTTATAACATTTTTTATTTTCTTGAGATTATAATTAATTTTAATTAATTTTCTTTTTATATTTATTATGATAAAAAAATATAACAAAACATTCTATAAATATTGTGTAGCAAAATATTCTTTTCGCTATAAATTGTATTTATCAGATTTATTTTGATGTCCACTCAAACATAAGTTAAGAATTATTTTATGCAACAAACTATTTTAATGTAATAACTCAATTTTTTTCAATTTATTACTATTTTAGAAACAAATATTTTAACCAGAAAATAAGCCAGTAAGAATTAACACTAGTTAATATAACATAAATATGGGCGTTTCGATTTTAAATTATCACATTTTTCAGTAGAATTAATGCATTCAGGTTAAATGAAAGTTGAACATAAGCCAAACAGGTAAATTATTAGACTGTACGGCAGGTAAATCAGGTGGTCTAAAAATAAAATAAAAGTTTATCCAGTATAGTAATGTAATAAAAATGAAATTTAACAACGTAGTGTTAAATACGTGAATTCGAATAAAGATCGGCAAAATTTCGGAATCAGTAAAATCGGAAAAATAAAAGAGCAACATTCAAAGGACTAGAATGTACCCAGCTCTCAGCAATTTAGAAATATAACAGGATTTGATAACGGAGTATGATGAGACAGCAAGTCGAGCAGAGTCTGCTACTAATGCATTTAAGTAATTTATTACATTCCAATATATTTAACACGTTCATTGCCGTTCACGCGATATCGCGTGATCGTCGCTAACGAGTTTCTATGCGGGATAGAATAGCGGCCACAGCGAAGCGGCGCGTGATGTTTACATAGGTCACTGGGGAAAGGATCGAACTCTCGTGGAGGGGGGATGGCCTCCAGCCATCGTCTGTTGAAAAAAAAAAGAAAAAATAACTTTGGCCACCACACGAAATTCAAATTTTCAGTTTGGCAATGAACGTGTTAAATAGAACATACTGTAGATCCTGCACACTTTATGCTGCCAATCTGTCGACAGACTGCTAACAGATTGCTTACTAAATATAAAAAATAATATTTAAGATATATAAAATACAAATAATTATAAACAAAAAACTTTGAGAAATTTTTTGGTGACAATTTTTATACCCTTTCATACACAAAATATTATCAAAAATTTTTTTTCTTTAGTTATTTATTTTATTAGGAGGTTGCATTAATTCGTACCGTTGAGAACAGATAACTCTGAATGTTACTTTAATTCATGCTGTAGCTATTAGATTTTAGAGGTTACATCTCGTCATTTGTAAACAACATCCAGTCAACAAAGGTCTCTGTGTGTAGAAAAAGGTGTTAAAGAGTGAAGCGAATATAGAATGCAATAAAATATTTATCCGACATGTGCTTTTACATTACATTGATTTGAAAAAAATGCAGCTGAAATTTAATTGATAATTGATAAGTGACCAATTGCTTCTGGACATTTATGATAAAGCTACTTCTTCGGAAAAAACGTATAGAAAATGGATGCAACGTTTCAAAGGTGATATTGAAGTTCAAAACAAAAAACACTCAGGGCAGTCGAAAAAATTTAACGACAAAGAACTGTAAGAGTTATTGGATGAAATCTGGCACAAATGCTCAAAGAATAGTCAGTAGTCCTCGGAATCGACAAATCAACCGTTTCGAGGCCGCTATATATCCTAGAGAAAATCCAAAAGAAGGGAAAATAGGTGCCTTATCAATTGTCAGAAAGCTCAAAGT